AAAAACAGGTGTTTTGCTCAATTGCTGGGGAGGAGTGAGACTCTTCAGCGGGGTCTGGGTTTCCCTAGAGATGTGTATCATGTCATAAAAAAATCAGAAACATCTACCTATGCTATCAGTGCCACCAACGCTTCTGCCAGCACCGCCAGTGGGCACAGGGCCCTCCAGGATCCCTGTGGCCAGGTGTGCTGCCTAACTTCCTCTTGGCGTCTCCCATGCCAAAATCAGCAGTGTCTATGGTGTTGCCTACTCGTTGCTGGCACTAAATACATATTTGTGGAGCTGGTCTGATTATGACCAAGAAACTGCCCTGGATATGAGAAATAACGGTGGTTCAGGAAGCGTACCTCAAATTGGAGATTTCCAGTGCAGGTGTCAACACCAGGACGTTGGTACAACCTCTTTGATTAATTTAAAGTTGAATGAGTTACTAATAACATGCCTAGAAGACTTACCTCATTTCGTGCAACCAGAGTTATGAATGCGCCTTGTTTGTAGCACTCGATAGCAATACACTTTCCAATGCCACTGGAGCCTCCTGTGACCTAAAAGTAAAAAAAAAAAAAGAAAAAGTCTCCTTAGCACTTGGCATTTCCGTTCTATTGAAAGTTCATCTAAAATAATTATGATGGGCTTTAAAATCCAATAGAAAAACTAAATTTTTAGCTACTCTTGCTTCTTCATCCCAGACTTCATGAGTGCAAACATGGAAGATTGTACCATTAGCAGAGCCTGCTGTCATTGTCCCCATCCCTGAACTATATATATATCCACTGCACACCTATTCATTTTCCTGAGTTCACTGGAGGGAAAGTGTCCTATAAATCTAGCTAATAAATAATAATTAGGCCTAAGTGCCCATCAATAGATGAGTGGATAAAAATGTGGTACATGCATATAATGGAATATTACTCAGCCATAAAAAAGAATGATATCTTCCCATTTGTGACAGCATGGATAGATGTAGGGGTATTATGCTAAGTGAAATAAGTTAGAGAAAGACAAATACTATATGAAAGAGCATTATATAAAAATAAAATAATATAAATGATATAGAGAATAAACTCATGGTTGTCAGCTGGGAGGAGGGTTGGGAGACGGTGAAAAAAGTTTAGGAATTGAGAAGTACAGATTGGTAGTTACAACATAGTCACAGGAATGTAAACTACAGAATAAGGAATATAGAAAATATATTGCAATAACTGTGTATGGTGCTAGTAGGTACTAGAATTATTGAGGCATCACTTGGTAAATTATATTAATATCTAACTATGCTCATAGCTGAAACTAATCTTTATATATATCGATAAAAGGCTAAGTGACCATTGTTATGTCTCTCTGACCGTACAACCCTCTGACTGTATGTCTGACCGACCAGCTGGTACATATGACACACACTGGCAATTTAAAAATAAATGTTGACTCATGAATGTGTGATACATATAAAGCTCTTGCTGATACCAATCTAGACAAAGTAGGAATATTTCTACCTGAACCAGTTTTCAGACATGGTCAGTTATATATTGCTTTCTCTCAAGTTCAAAGAGTGTGTGAAGTTAAAGTTGTAAATAACTTTAATCACAAGGGAAATTAGTCAAGCACTCTGAAAGTGTTTTTACTCTTAATGTGGTATATAGGTAGATATTAGAATGAGTTTAATCAATTTATCGTTCATTGTTTTATCAATGTTTTTGTTGTTTTTATACCATGTTTTTGTGGGTTTTAAATCATGTCTTTGTTATTGTTATATGTTGTTATTTCTTCTAATTGATTTCCTTTCAATGTGCACAAATTCATGCACAGGTCCACTAGTATAAAATAATACTGAATGTCAACTAAAATTGAAAAAGAAAAATACTACTACTAATAATAAATACTAGTCTGCCTTTGAGTCCAGTTCCAAGTGAATCCTATTTCCTCACTGCATACCCCCTGTGCATGACCAGTTCTACAAGACATGAAAAGAATGGCCACCTGCATATGTTCTGTGATATTTTCAGTGACTGCTTATTATAAAGTAATGTAAGAGCTCATGGAAATCCTGAAAAGTACAGCTTGTCTTCCTCTCTCTTCTGCCCTCACCATCTACAGCTCAGTCACCCTGGCTGTCTTTCATGTCTAGGCTCTTGCTGACCCCACGACAGGACTCTGCACAGCCCATGTCCCCACAGGGAGGCTCTCCTGCGGGGAGAGCTCTGTTCATCCGGCTGGCACCTGCTCACCCATCTCAGCTCAAACATGCTTCCTCAGGAAAGCCTTCCCTAACTGCCCGGCATCTCCTCCACCCACTTTCAGCACTGCATCCTTTTTTCCCTTTAGTTCATGGCACTCACAGATCAAATAGCCATGTGATGATTTGCGTGATTATTTAATTCACAACCATCTCTCCTATCACCACCCCATAAATTCCATTAGAAATACCAACTCTGTTTTTGCTCCCTACCATATTCCTAGCACTTAGCACAGTGCCTGGCATATAAGAAGTACTCGATGTATATTTAACTTAGTAAGACAAATGCAATATTTTCTTTCTAGTCATTTTCCCTATGTAGATTCTACAACAAGGGGGTGGGGGGGTCGGGGGGGTAGAGAAAGGGGTGATGAGCCTCCAGCCGTCAGGTGAAAGGGATTGGAAGTGTTGGAATGCATCTGACCTAAGAGGATATTGTATCCTATTTAAAACTAAAAGGCTTCACAATATTGCATTTACAGCTCTATCAAAACCATTAGTTGACCATGTCCCTATAGTCAGACAATTGGATTATTTAGAATATTTTGCTGTTAGTCCTGCTGTAATGAACATCTTTGACCCCATCCCATGATTTTAAATCCTCATGAGGCCCCTCCTAGACAATGTATTCATCTCCATGCAACTCCCAGGCACCTCCTACTTCTCTTTAGCTTCATCTTTCCACCACCCATGGGATTTCTTTGGCAGATCATTAACCAATTACCTACAGGTTACTATAAAAACATACCTGTTGCCTAGGTGAGTGGTCGCCTCTGAGGAGGTCTCTACTATGGAGCTATTTCACAGATGGTTTCTGTTTATTAATTTGCACCAAACATTCCAATTCCATAGCAATTAGCATACTCCTAAAAAACGTCCTGGCTGTTTTATGATGCTCCTGCTGCCTAAATGTCCCTCCATCCAATATCCCAACACACACCTACATTTCCAAATCCTGCCTACCCTGCAGGGGCCAGCTCCAATTTCACTTCCTCCAACCAGCTCTTCCTGTCACTCAGTCCCATCCTTTACCTGTCACTTCTATCTTGGGCACAGTTACTTATGTCCACGTCTCAGTCCCCCTGCCAGACTGTAAGTCCCTTGAGGATGAGTACCCACTCCAATTTACCGCCCTCATTCCTAGCACAGTGCAAAGCATAAGCAGTTTCAAAATAAACACTTGCCTACATTCATTTGCAGAATGGTGTCTTGTGCCATTTCCATGAAAGACACAATGACAAGAACACTTGTAAGTGAAATTTCCTATTTGTTATTCAGTGAATGAATGGAAGTTATGAAGAAAATATACATGGTGTAAAGAGCCATGTTGATATTAGCTGTTGTTATTATTGCTGTCTTTGCCTAGATAGACTGAATAAGTAAGCTAGCTGTGTGAAATTACTGAACAGCACAGACCTGTTCGACCTGTCCACTTCTCAGATTTTTCGATAAGAACAAGAGTAAGACTTCAACTTTTGGGCCATGCTTCATGGGAAACTAAACCCCCAAGCAAGCCAGCTAATTCTTAAACGGTATCTAAGAATAAGCCATTTCTAGGCTATGTTATTCTGAACGTTATAAGCAAATATAAGAGATCTTCAAGATGGCTGAGAAAAATGGTAACTGTGTCCTGAGTTGCCTGACAATTGGTAAACTGAGCCCAGATGTGGGACACTAAAGATAAGTATAATTTCCTTCCTTTATCATTCCCTCCTACTATTCATTGGAAATTCTATTTTAATGTTACTAACTTTAGTCACACCCTGCCCCTCTTATTGAAGGCAAGAGAGGGGAGGGTGTTACAAGGAAAGTTGCTCCCAGCCATTTCCAAGAAAGGAAAACTTGACTTTCCAGTACACAAGTCAAACAGCTTTTTAAAAACCAGCTGATGTACACACGTGCATACCCTATAAGACTTCTGTAATGAGGGAGATAACACTAGTATGGAATAATTGTTCTAAAAAAACGAAACAATAAATAATTATGGCCTAGTCTGTTCATGCTCCCACATAAACAAGCATGCCAAATGCCAGCTCTCTCTCCTAACACCCCCTGGTCTAGTCCTAACAAATTTCAAGAAAAATAATTACGTTTTCGCTCTCCTTCTAACATTAAAAAAGAGGACAGATGTGAATTATTCATGTCACCCTCACATCACTTGTAAGGGTGTTTTAAAGCTAATCAGTGAAAATAGGAAACTCTCTTGGTCTCTCCCAGACTTGTCTGTCTCCTTACCTACCAGCGGCCTGCAGCGTCATGGGCTGGAAGGAGCAGAGTCAAGGCTAAGGGAAACTCTCAAAGACACTGACTCAAATTTTTCATCAGTGCATCTGGCTTTTTCCAAGTTATGCTCTGCAAACCTGAGTTCTGAAAGAATCCAACCTTTAAAGCCATGCGATCATGGCGGAAATTATCATGTGGATGGATGTGACACTTTCAGGATTTGGCATGTCTGCAAAGTTTTGCTCCTCTCTCTCTTTCTTGCTCTCTCTCAAAGAATTTACACTCACCTCCTCATCTATCTTCCACTTAGGGAAGAGCAGGAGTTGGAGATTCACGAATTGTTTTTTACAAAAGAGAACTTCAAGAAAACGCCTTTCCTCATATACGAAGCTGGCCCGGATTTAGAAAAAAAACGACACTAAAAGAAATGACCATCCTGTCCCACCGCACACACAGGGGAGACTCCAGCATGTCACCTCAGGCACCAGGAGGATTCGTGCCACCAGCTTAGTCCTTACCCACAACCTCCCGCCTCCGGGTGCCCCTCCGGGGTGGGGAAATGCAAAGCCCCCTGCAAACAGCGCGGTGCTGGGCGCAGGGCAGGTGGCACCCTCGGTTTAAAACAAGTGCCACACCTGCAGAAAAGGGAATCTTCGAAGACACGAGCTTCCGGTAAGAAACAAGCCAAACCCATCCCCGGCCCTTTCACTCCAAAAACACCGCCGGGTGGATCGGATTCCGAGGCTGGCACAGGGTCGCCTGGAACCGTCATCCGCAGACCCAGGCTGAGCTCCCAGAGAAACCAGCTGTGCAGACGGGGCCGAAGCGTCCCCGCACCTCCCTCCCTCGGGCCAGGGCTGCTGGCCCCCTGGGCTCGGCCCATTTCCCCGAGTGAGTCCCCCCTCGACGCCACCGGCAACTGCTGGGTCCGCCCCTGGCACAGGCCGGATCCCGGATCCCGGCTACCGGCTCCCAGCGCCCCGGCCTCTCCAGGCGGCAGGGACCCCCTTCTCCGCCTCCCCCTGCCCCCCGATCACGGAGCCCTGGACAAAGTTTCTCAGCCTCTCCGTGGACTGACTCGTCGGGAAACTGAGGACAAAAACAGCCCCCTCCCAGGGATGCGCCGGGGTCACCCAGCGGCTCCGGCCCCCGGGGCTCCGGGAGGAGCGAGCTGCGGCGAGGCCGGTCCCCGAGGGCCTCGGCGGCGCGGCCGGCGCAGGTGCCCCGCGGCCGGGGCCCCTGGGCGGGAGCCGGGGCGGCCGAGGGGCCGGGGGCGGCGGCGCGGCCCCGGGAGAGGCCACTCACCACCACATGCGCGCCGGGCAGGGCGAGCGGCTTGGGGCTGATGAGCGGCGACAGCATGTAGAGCAGCAGCACGAACGCCACCAGGCAGGTGCCCGCGATCAGCAGCAGCATCGCGCGGCCGGGGTCCGGGCGGCGGCGCGGGGATCACGCGCGGCCGCTGCGGGCGCAGGTGTCCGGGTCCGGGGGGGAGGCGGCGGCGGCGGCGGCGGCGGCGAGGGGAAGAGGCGGAGCCCGCGAGGGCGCGACCGCGGCGGGGCGGCGCCACCGGCGGAGGCGCGGGAGCCCGGGCGCTGTGCCCGCGGCTAGGCCGGCCCGCAGCCTCCCCCGGCCCCGGCCCCGGCCCGGTCCCCGATCCCCGAGCCCCGAGCCCCTGCCCCGGCCCCGGCCCGGTCCCCGATCCCCGATCCCCGGCCCCGGTCCCCCTCCGCCCCCTGAGCCGGTGGCCGCGCTGGTTCGGGCCGCGGAGAGCTGGTGTCCCGCCTCCCGGGGCCGCTCGGGCCGCGGGTTTCGCCACGTCGCCGGGTGTCGCCCAGCCCGCCGCCCGCCCGGCCTGAGCCACCCGGGCCCGCGCTGTGGAGCCCGATCCGCGGGCACCTGGAAGCCCAGGATCAGGCGCTGAACCCCCGGCCTCCATTTCACAGGTTCTGGGCGTTCCTAGAAAATGGTCACAACCCATTGTCACTTTTCAGAGGAACTGGAAGACCTGAATAGGGTCTTTAAAAAAGCCACTCAGATGGTTCCATTTCCTTGAGCTGAGTTGTTGTTGTTGTTGTTGTTGTTGTGTTGTTGTTGTTGTTCTTCTTCACCAAAGCAAGGTTTCAATTTAAAAAATAATAAATAAAAACGTTGGGATCTAATTCACATCCCGATTTAAAGTGTAAAATAAAAATATGTTTATTGTACTCAGAGCTATGCAACCTCTCCACAGTTTTAGAACATTTCGTTACACCTCCCTCACCCCCAAAATATCCTGTGCCCATCAGGCAATCACCAGTTTTTATCTCTATCGGATTGCTTATTCCAGATATATAAATGGGATCATACACTAGGGAGCCTGTGGTGTCCAGCTTCTTTCCCTTGGCATGTTTTCAAGGTCCATCCATGTTGTAGCATGTATCAGTATTTTATTGTTTTTATCAACAAATTGTATTCCATTGTGTGGACAGATCACATTTCATTTATCCAATTATTAATTGATGGGCAGTAAGGTCGCTTCCACTTTAGGGCTTTTGTTGTTATTTTTAAATATATATTTTTATTGATTTTTAAGGAGAGAGGAAGGGAAAAGGATAGAGAGATGGAAACATCAATGAGAGAAAGAGAAACATCATCAATAGGCTGCCTTCTCCATGCTCCCCACAGGGGACTGAGAGCCCAACAGGGCATGTGCCCTGACCTGGAATCCAACCCGTGACCTCTTGGTTCCAAGTTCAACTGCTGAGCTACACCTTGGGGCTTTTGTGAATAATGCTGCTGTGAACGTTCACAACCAAGTTTTTGTGAGGACACATGTTTTCCTTTATCTGGGGTATAAACCTAGAAGTATAATTGCTGGCTCTTGTGAACAGTAAAGGGGTTCTACATAAAGTAACCTCACAGGGTGATCTAATCATAAATTCCTAAGTGGGCAGATCATGGTGTGTAGGCATGACCCAACACTTGTTTAGTAAATAGATCTTTTCAAAGGTGTGTAAATCTTCTAAAGCATGACCTCAAGAGAACACATAATCTTGTTAATTATGCTGTAACCCAATCCCCCACCTTGCTTTCTCCCACCTTCAAGTGATCTTGCTTACTTCTTTCTTTAATTCTAAATCCAGTCATTTCATATATATATATATATATATATATATATATATATATATATATATATAATATTGATTTATTTTTTTACAGAAAGGAAGAGAGAGGGATAGAGAGTTAGAAACATCGATGAGAGAGAAACATCGATCAGCTGCCTCCTGCACACCCCCCACTAGGGATGTGCCCGCAACCAAGGTACATGCCCTTAACCGAAATCGAACCTGGGACCTTTCAGTCCGACGCTCGATCCACTGAGCCAAACCGATTTCGGCGCAGTCATTTCATGGAAGCATTTATCTCAGTGTGTTGCGATCTGGCTTCCAAGCTTATCCTCTGTTTGGCTCAAATAAATTTTTTATAAAAATTGTCTACAGGTTTGACCATTCTCACATTGACAATCTTATAACTGTTTCACCGGAACTGCCAGACTGCCAAAGCAGCTGAACCATTTTGTAGTCCCAGCAACAGTATGTGAGGCTTCCAACTTCCCTATATCCTCAGCAGCACGTACCATCCTTTTAATTATAGCCTTCCTAGTGGGTGTGAAGTGACATTTCATTGTGATTTTGACTTGCATAAGGCACTTATTTTTGTTTGATTGCTTGCCTTTCCTTTTTGTTGTTATTTTTAGGAATACTAAGGAGCTCAGGAGCAAAGAATCTGAGTTTTTCTTCTTTGTTCACTTGCTACCCTGAATTAGCCAAATTACACAGGGTGTGTGGGCACAGGCCCAATGACTTCTAACACCAATTGCAAGTTTGGGCAATTCCTAAACCACCTTCTGTTTGGTAAGTCTCCAGAAGGGCTCACTGAGAACTGTTATATTCATGGCGATCGATAGTTTATGACAGTCAGCTAGGGAAAAATATGCATGCGGCAAAGTATGGAGGGCTCTAAATGCACAGCTTCTGTTGTCCTCCCATGGAGTAGGACGTGTGACACTCTCAGCATTGTGTGTGACAATATGCATCAAACTCATCTAGTGTCCAGAGATTTTTATTGAGGCTTCCTTATGTAGGAGTGATTGATTGCCCATAGGACTAAACTCAGTCTCCAGATCAAATGATCCAAAATTTATGACATGGTCAATTTTTCTGGCATGGCCAGCCCCCATCTTAAAGTCCAGTTTGGCTAGCCCTCAAATAAACAAAAACACTTCTAACAGGTATAACATACATCACTTCCCAGAAGCCAAAGCCAAAGGCCAGACCTTCTTTTTGGGCAAGGCCAAATTCTTTACCACACAGGCCACCGCCTGGTCTTTGTTCTCCTAAAAATAAACACATGCCTATTTTCTGTAGGAGGCTCCTAACTCAATTTCCCTATGGATTTGGCCATGAGTAGCAGCACTGTAATCTCACTAACACAATGACAGCGTTACACTGTATCGCTGTACCAGGTAGAAAAAAATGAAGTTGAGGTGATAGGAGAAAAGAGAAAAGTGTAGTCACAAGAACTATGTAGTCATGCTGGCATCCTCCCCTACCCTTCTCCTCTAGCTCCCCACAAAGAGTGGAGGAATCTAGTGGGGACCCTCCCTTGGTCTCCCTCCTGCTGAGGATGAGTGCACGTTCAACAAGACCTGTAAGTCAGCCCTATGACCTTTATCTTCTCTTCCTTCATTCAACTGCCTGTTTCAATTCTCTATTAGACCTTTACTCTGAGGATGATATGCAGCATATGACCATTACATGTGCTTGCTACCTCTCTGGCCACTGTTGGACCCTAAGGGCTATAAAACATGCTACTAGGCCTGAAGAAACACAATTCAGTCTGACTTGGTGCAATATCTTCTGGTTCAGGCCTTTTATAGCATGTTGAGCTTTGCATCTACCTCTGGGCATGCAAAACCCAGTCCAGTCTTTCTATGCAGGACAAAATCTCCTTGTAACCTTCCAGAGCTAAAAGCATCCATCTGCCGCCAACTCTGTGTCACACCTTCCCTCTGGGGAGTCTTCCCCATGGTCATTGGCAGCCTGTCATTTAAAAAAAATATATATTTTTATTGATTTCAGAGAGAAAGGGAAAGGGAGGAGAGATAGAAATGATGAAAGAGAATCATTGATTAGCTACCTACTGCAGGCCCCATGCTGGAGATCAAGCCCACAACCTAGGCATGTGCCCTGACCAGGAATTGAACCATGACCTCCTGGTTCATAGGTCAACACTCATCCATTGAGCCACACCAGCCAGAGAGGCTCTGTCATTTTTGTTGGCATAGGAAAGTTATTGATATTTGGTGACCCAGAGGGAACAAGAGGACTACCAGTATGTCTAGATTCATCCCAGCTCTGAATTGCTGTGGCCCAACATCCATTCATTTTATGACCCAGGTGGCCACCTCAAGTGAGCATACCAGAATATCCACTTGCTGGTTCCGATCACCTTCCAAACTTAGGAGGTTCTTCTGATGACCAGCGACAGGCCCTACTTTAATGTACCCCTTGAGTTTCCATAGTGATTTCCATACAGCCATGCCACTTACAGGCATCCCAGGTTCCCACCACCCTTATACCTAACCATATGGCCAAGCCATTAGCTAGTGCTCAAGAGTTGTTTCAACAAACATAGGGACTAACAGTATGTAATTCAGCCAACTGAACTGGTTTGTTTTTATCTTCTTCAGAGTGGCAGCCTTCCAAATAGGGTGCTGTCCACTCATGCACCTTGAACATGACACAGCTCTTCTTTTGTTTGATAAAGAGCTATGCCTAGGACGTGGCCCAAGTGGCCACAGTGGCTACAGGCCCAGCAATTCCTCAGGTGGCTCCAAAGTCAGCCCTCCTGGAGTCTATCTGCTATGAGCACAGTTCACTTCTTTGTATTTCCTGGTGGCATGTTCCTGCAAAACCGGTTCCATTTTATTATGAAACTCTTCTAGGCACTGCCTTCCCCCTTAGAGTGTTTCTCTAACTTCACCAAAGATGATGTATCTCCAACTGTCTCTCTAGGGAACTCTGACTAATACAGGGGGGATTCTGGGCTTAAAGGCAAAACTATGAAACCTTTAGAAAACACATTGGATTTTAAAAGAATGAAGACTTTGGTCAGTCAGGGGGACAAAATAAAAACCAGGTCACTTATTTACAAAAGAAATCAAACTAGATTTCTCCACAGTAACATTCAACATGAGAGAATAATAATCCTATATTAATCCTATCTAATAATTGAGTAATTGCAGATTGACCATCATTCCAACACTCAAGATGGCTGTCCATATATGGCCAAAGATCCTGCCCCCATGTGGACACAAGATGGCCACCACAAGATGGCCAGCAGGAAAGGGCAGTTGGGAGGGACCAGGCCTGCAAGGAAGGGCAGTTGGGGGTGATCAATCCTGCAAGGAGCGGGGGGGGGGGGGGGGGGGGGCAGTTAGGGGTGACCAGGTCGGCAGAAGAGGAAAGTTGGGGGCAAACAGGCTGGCAGGGGAGCAGTTAGACATCAGGCTGGCATGGGAGTGTTTAGGGGGTGATCAGGCTGGCAGGCAGAATCAGTTAGGGGCAATCAGGAAGGCAGGCAGGAGAGCAGTCGGGAGCCAGCAGTCCTGGATTGTGAGAGGGGATCCCAGATTGGAGAGGGTACAGGCTGGGCTGAGGGACATCCCCCACCCCATGCATGAATTTTGTGCACTGGGCCTCTAGTCATTATAATAAAAGGCTAATATGCAAATGGTCATCACACCGTCAAGCCAATCAGTAGGGACTGGGTCGGGGGGACCTGAGGCTGCCCGCCCCCCCAAGGCTGGTAACCTGAGGCTGTGCCCTCCGCCCTGCGGGGCTTGATGGGGTGGGGCTGACTGGGTCTGGGTCTCACACGATTTTGAGGCATGGGCATGGACAAGGACTTGACTCTGGGTCCTGCAGTGCGCCCCAGACTCTTACAGGAGGGAGGTTTTCACATACATTTTACTAATTTTCTTTCATCTCTGACACTTCTATTATAGAGAAAGGGCAAATAGCAATATTAAAATATTTCCTCTAATTAATTCCCTTTTAATGTGCACAAATTTCTTGCACTGGGTCACTAATCTATATAATAAAGAACTAATAAGCAAATGGTCATCACACCCTCATGCTGTAGTAGCTCAGACACTCAATACTGGGGAGAGAGGAATGGGGACCAGCCAGGATGCAGCCTGGGAAAGGGGCAAGCTGCCCGCCTCATGACCCCAGGCACCAGCGGCTGGGGCTGCGGCCTGGGAGAGGGACAAGCCACCTGCTCTGTGGTCCCAGGAACCTGCAGCTGTGGTCCTGGTGAAGCCTCCCACCCACGGTCCAGTGTGGCTATGGAAGGACCAAGTGAAGCTGGCCCAGGTTCTAGCTGCCTGTGACTGGCCAGAGGGAGGGAATCCTGGGTCCCGGGTGTGGGGCAAGGCAGAGGCAGTTAGGGGTGATCAGGCCAGCAGGAAAGCAGTTAGGGGTGATCAGACAGGCGGCAGGTGAGCTGTTAGGAGCCAGTTGTCCCGGATTGTGAGAGGGTGCAGGCTGGGCTGAGGCCCCCCACCCACAACAGTGCATGAATTTCATACACCAGGCCTCTAGTAGATCTATGAGTCTCAAGAAAAGAATGGTGAGCCAAGCAGGTTTTATATCCAGCTGATCTATATTTCACCCATTGAACACGGAATAATTAAGGAAATACTTTTCCCATGGCCCTTGTTGAGGAAAGTATTAAGGCTATTGTCTTAGCCCATTTGAACTGCTTAACAGAACACCATAGATGGGGTGGCTTATAAACAATAGAAATTTCTCAGTTCTGGTGGCTGGAAAGTCCAAAATAAAGATACTGGCAGATGTGGAAATGTAGCAATAAGGAAGTTTCTGAAAACCAGAAACAGAGCTCTCAGCAGAAACTAAATCCGCTGGCACCTGGATCTTGGACTTCCAGCCTCCCAAACTGTAAGAAATAAATGTCTGTTGTTTAAGCCACCCAGTCTATGGTGTTTTGTTACAGCTAGCTGCCCTAGCTAAGATCATGCCATTAAATAATTTCAAATTTGTCATAAACGTTATAGAATCCACACACATCACTAAGCCTATTTTTTATAGCAAGGAGGAAGCAATGCATTGATTGACAGTCAGGCAAAACTCCCTATCAAGGTAACTACTCCTATTTCAAATAACATGAGTACAAGTATTTTGGTGTTCATTTTTTTTCATAATCACTCCATCATCATCTTTAGGTATCATTTGCCACATTCAGGATGGTGTTTTGTGTTATGCAAAAAAGTTCAGTTAAATTAGTATTTTTTCATAAATTAAGACGAAAAATATCCCTGGTTGATGTGGCTCAGCTGGTTGAGTACCATCCCATACACCAAAGGGTCACAGTTCAATTCCTGGTCTGGGAACATACCCAGGTTGTGGGTTTGATCCTGTTGGGGTGCGTATGGGAAGCAACCAATAGATGTTTCTCTCACATCAATGTTTCTCCAGCTCTCTCTTTCTCAAATTAATAAAAAATATAGTTGAAAAGATTAAAAATAATAATGCAGACTTTACTTCCGCAGTTTAGCTTATAATGTAAAACTCAAAATTTAAAAAAAACAAAAAAAACTAACAGGCTTGAAACTGGGAAAGGACTTTTACTTACAGAATTTAAATAAATGTAACATTTGTTAATGTAAGGAATGAAACTGAAAATCACCAGAGAACACCAAATAATTGCTGCTAATGGTAAGATAAGACAGTGAGTGGGTAAAAAATTACAGAGTAACTGAATAATGCATACTCTCAGTGGCTCTTACCCCAAATAGTTATTAATATTGTGTAATTTTAACATATACCCACAAATTCATTTCTCTCCTTCCAGAAAGGAAGCTTTATTTCCTTTTCCTTTCTTGAAGGCAAGACTTGGCAACTAGCTTCAGAAGGACAGTGTGTTGAAAGGAAAAATAATAATTTTCTATGGAAACCTCCCTCCCCCACCTTACTAATAATATGAGCAAAAGTAATTAACATCACCGAGTATAAGATGTTGATAACATGTCCCCCTGATTTGAAAAGCTAGTAGGGCATGTCACTTATATGGTGTTATTCTCCCAAATCCCCAACCTTAGTCTAATTAAGAGAAGACATCAAACCAACCTAAATTGAGGGGCAGTTTTCAAAATATCTAGCTAAAACTCTTGCAGTGTCTCAAGATAAAATAAATAAATGAATAAATAAAAATAAAGAATAAAACACCTAAAAAAGTATCTCAAGTTCCAGAAAGACTGAGGGAACAGCACTGAGGAAAGGAGACTAGGGGATATGACGACTAAATGCCATCCTGGGTTGGATCCAGAAACAGAAAAAGGACATTAATGGGAAAATTGGTAAAATCAAAATAAAGCAGTAGTGTGGTTGATGGGATTGTGCTAACATTGATTTCTTGGTTTGATTATACATTGGGGAAAGCTTGTAAAAATTACACAGAATGCTCTACATTAACTTCTTCTGCCCAGTTCAGTTCCCTCCCTTGTTCATAGGTATTGAACTGTAGTAAATATCCTGACCCCAGACTCCACGTTTGTTGGCTCCTGGAGAATCCAACTTGTAACACACATTGCCCAACACATTCCCGACAATCTTCCATCTTAGGTATTATAAAATCCAGATGCAGTTTGTACTTCCCTCAAATTCTTTGTATTTTATTTACATAAAAGGTAAATAAACCTGGTTAGATTTTAGGCCCAACTACTGAAAAGGTTACTTTTGGTATATGTCAAGAATCATTTATGATACCCCTAATGATGACTTTGTTGCTAACCAGCCCTGCCCTGCCTGCCCATCAGCAGGAACTCTTTGCTCAAAGGCTGGAGAGTAAAATATGTGTGGCAATTAATTTGGTAGGTTTAGCAAAAAAGAGCCCTAGCTAAG